ACCGAGATCAGGTGTCGTGCCTGGAGATAACCACACCGAGATCAGGTGTCGTGCCTGGAGATAACCACACCGAGATCAGGTGTCGTGCCTGGAGATAACCACTGTTGTCCTCTTTCTTTTATTTTTTTCCCTGTTTTGACCGATAAGGCAAAAAACAGCCTCTGGCTCGTTAGGTGATCTCGGATTAAGATGTGTATCTTAACAAAAATGAATTTAAAAAACCCTCATATCAGCACCATGCAGTTTACACACACATTCTTGTTTTCTGAAAACACTCCATGTGAAATTTGTCACATTTAGAAACGGTTGCCTTTTCACTTATTCCGCCCCCGCCCCCCCCCCGCCCCGGTATGATGTAGGAAGGTGACCCGCCTGTCTAACCAGGGCCAGGATTGCAGAGCACCTCCCTGGGGATTGGAGCCGAACTCTAACTTTGAAATTGGAGTTTCAGATTCTGCTCGGGGTCCTTCCTGCCGGTGTGCTGAGGGAAGCTCTTAACTGCAGTGGCTGCACACAGTTTTAGGTGCGAAATTGTACGGAAAAAAAAAAGCAAAATTATAAGTTAATATAAGTGCATATTCTTCCAATGAGTGAAGAAAACTAATGAATTCAATGTACAATGTATGACGAAGAGATTTTTTTAATTCAGTGTTGCTACAGCACACATTTTGTAACATTGTAACATTTCATCATTTCACCTAAGCTTGGCGGAGGGTCTGGAGCCGACTTTAACTCTAACACTGGGTGATGACATCAGCTCACTCAGCCAGAGTCACGGCAAGGGCAAAACAGTCAGTCATTCGTCGGAGGAGGACGGGAAAGAGGCACATTGCCAGGAGGAAGCCACAAACAGGGGGAGGACGGGCGAGGTCCTGTACAGCAGCAATGGCACTGTTAACAGGTTCCCGTAAAAGTGTAACTAAACGGTGTTTAGAATTCACTCTTCCAGCTTAATCATCCAATATGACCTGCACTCCTAGAGAAACTGTATATAATATATTAATGCATGTGGGTGTCACCCATTCTAATGAAAAAAATCCAGCATTCAAACACATGTGAGAAGCAAGGCCGTAGATTTGTGTGTGGATGGTAAGGACATGTCCCTTACTAATACTGGTGAAGTACCGTGTTTATGTGACAGGGGGTTCAGACTGATTTGGTCCCTACTGATGTTTAAACTGAACATACACCCTTGGTGAAAAGACTGGGGTAGATATATTAGTTAAATCTTATACACGAACCACATTTGATTCTGAAGAGAAGACTTCATACTACCCAAACTGCAATTTACATTCACAGAACGTGACAGCATTTTAAGAAATAGATCAGTATATGTGACTCACACATCTGTCGAAGCTTAAACTGCAGGGGCAGTTTTACAGGCGGATGTTTCACGACCCCATTAAAAGTGAATGATGTGGCAGGAATCCGTGTTTCATTTACAAGGAAATACAAGTCAAATCTTGCATGTAATAATATTTAGAAAGCACTGGGCCTTTTGCGACTGGTCAAATAATACGTACATTACATGGTCTCAGCGAGGTCTTCGATCTGTCACCCTCATAAGCGAGGAACTGCTCTCCTAAAGCAAAATCGATATTTCTTTGTGGGTGTACCACTTACTAATTGAAAATCCTTAGGGGTAAAAATGAATATGAAATGTCAGGTCTTCAAAACTAATGAAAATGACATTTAATTCATCATGTTAACAATGGTGACAAAATTTATGTAGCAGAGCAGACCCGGGGCTGAAAACTTTCATTGTATACTTGATGAAATGCTTGCATTTGCTTGGAGAAACATCGCTTCATGTTCCCAAGGTTTATTTTGTGTCAGTTAAAAGCTACACATCTTTAAAGTGAGTGAAAAGCCATTTTAATAATGAAACACATTCTACAAAGATCTATTTTGACATTTGCTCTGTTTTTTTCTTAATTCCTAAACCCAAAGAAGAAATATGCAGTATTTACCCTTTGCAATCATACACAGGCCCTGTTTCCTCTGCGATTCAGACGCACGTCTCACTGTTCCACAGCTTACTTTATTTCAGACAGTCCAGGTTACATTGGCTAAAAATTCAAACAGGAGAATGAATGCAGACGCCCAGCCTTCCACTTGCAGAAGGCAATGCTGCGAGACACGGCTGTTTTATCCGGAAACTCGGCTTATTTCCTCACACCTGAGAGACAGCCCAGAAAGCTTTCCGCTGCCTCTCTGGCGGCTCTCGGGGGGGAAGCCACACTGTCGCGTCTGCTCTTTTTTAGTGGGCCCGTATTGTCAGGCACCTCTGAAGCATCAATCACTAACGCGCCGTGATGGGATTATCGCTGGTTTGTTTAACGTATCCCAGATTTCTCAATGCTGTAACTGTTTAGACTGAATAAACTAGCAGAGATTTTGGCGTATTTGTACGTCTGATGCCTAGTGTTTAACAGGAAGGTTTGCAGATGTTACCTAAGCCATAGCGCTACAATCCTTAGCCATATAAAAACAACAAGGTACCAGTGTTTTATAGTCATCGGTGGACCAGGATCTCCAAACATTCCGGAACTGAGAAAATGCTCATGCCCATTACACAGCCAATATAAACGCTAAAGAGGCTCACAAAGAACAAAAACAAACCTAGCTGCAAAAAAAAAAACAAAAAAAAACTTCCAGCTCAATTTTAATCCAATAGAAGAGGCCTTTCCAAGTCACCAGATGTCTTACCGATGAAGAGGTTCCACTCCGGGTCCAGATCTGCTTGGTTGGCAAGGCAACCCTTCATGACGTTCAGGCAGTAGTTGCGGCAGGGCTTCTCCTGAGGCATGCCGCGGCAGTAAGGGCAGTACCGCATCTTTGTTAGGGCTCGGATGCAGGCTGGGATCAAACTGACCTATAGGGGCATGGAGGAGAGGGTTACCACGAGGGAAAAACCAGGCTGCTCATTTCACGTCTTTATGAAGCTGAGTAGACATGATGGACATGACAAACATGTAGGCGATGGCATGCAAGAGGTCGTTCTGGCAAAGAATGTGAAAAATCTTGCTTGACATCTGTGCGCCGTGGCCTGGAAGCTGAAAGATGAGGGGAAGGTTAAAAACTCTTCTCAGCAGACAGGGAGATAGTTACAGCCCCTGACTTTTGACCACAGTGATTGCAGTCCAAGTCTCATGAGGCCCCCCAATTGTCTCCCTAAGCGAGGGATTTTACCAGAACTGTTTCAGTAACATACTCAGGGTACAACTCAATCTTGCCCATCGTTTTTCTTTTCTCATTCCATGCACGTGCTCGCACACACACACACACACACACACACACACACACACACACAATCCCAACAATGAGAACCATAACCTTTACCCAGCCCTAATCTTAACCATAATTAACCAAACAAAATGGAAGACTTTTGGCATTCTTTGTGCTTTGATTGCAGTCACAAATTTTTATTAAATTGATATTCCCCTTATAAGGAACACACATACACACACACACACACACACACATATATATATATATATATAAATATAAAGTGCAGGCAGACCATATCCCTCACGGCCAAAGGTGTACACTGCATACTGCATACGAAGAGAACAATATGATGTGACCCCTTGGACTGTGGATGTTCAAAACTGAGTTGAACGCCTACACTTTTTTTTTTTTTTTTTACACTTAAAGAAAGCAGAGTGTAAAGAAGTGCACAGGTTGCAGCACAACAAAATGTCTTATCATTTTAATGTTTACAGACTGCTACAAGGACATCAGAAGCTGAAGTACAGTGAAGAGAGTGCAGGAAATCACTATTCCCATTGCTTCCTAATGGTCTCAGAGCGCTATATGGCTTACAAAGAAAGCTGTTAGTGCGATTGTGACAATGACCAATCAATACTTTCTAAGGATATCTCTAGGAAAATGGATGATAAAATACTGCAATTTATTTTTAAAATACCCAAAACAAGAATCATTTGATTGCAAATTACCTGTCATTATGAAAACAATTCATAACAGAAATTATTTGAAATATTACTAGAAATAGCAGAAAAATGGAGGGTATACAGTAGGTCTATACAATATATAACTTAAAATCAGAGGTGAGTAATTCATGTCCTTAGAGTAAAAGTCTAGACCAAGATTTTATTTCACAGAGTACTCAACTTGTTGGTTGAAACAAAATCTTGGTCTGGACTTTTACTCTCTGGATCTGAAGTACCTCCCTCTGCTTAAAACACATCCTGTTCGTATACATCATTAATTCTTACAATGCAGCATAGTCTCTTCCTGTTACCTTTATTATTTATATTACTGACAGTCTCTGTTTTCATCATTGTAAGAATTTTCTTGAGGGCATATTTTTGACACTTGCTGCATATATTTTCACAGGACCTGGTTACATATGTCTGATGTTCACTAACGCCGTCCTGTTGTCGTGACCGACTCGACTTCCAAAAGCAGTTACAGTGTAAAGAGAATGAACAGTAAACTAAATAGTCCCTAAAGTCACAGTGCCACTGACTCCACTTGGCAAGAGTTAAAGGCATTTCAAAGGAGTGAACAGATTTCTGCTCAGAGGACGAAGATTGTCATGCAAACATGAGAGAAAAAACAATAAACACTGAATTACGTGCACCTTGATCCTTTGTGATGTGTTCAATGCACATCTGAGATTTTTTTTCTTACAACATGACAAAACCATATTATATCATTTTGCTTACTCCATGCGAGTTGGCACAGACGGAATTAACTTGGAATCAACAGCCCTTTATCACGGATGCTGGCTGTAGTCCAGATAAGCCTGTAGAGCATACAAATGGAAAACAGGAATACTGGGTTCTTATCTAGGGAAAGGAAAAAAAAAAAAAAAACAGGAAATCAAGATAACTTTGTATGAGTCCAAAAACAATTGCCTTGTAAGTCGGTAAGATAATCTCATCCAAATGAATTAATGCCTGACCAACTTAAGATTTCACAGCGTTCAATTCTTTTATATATGGATAATCATAGGGTATAATATCTCTTTAAGTATACTGTGTTTGTGGAAAATTGTATATGTAATATATATGCACACACAAACATTATAGAGTTTGTGTGAAAAGGCAGATCAGACCAGAGGCCTATCCAAGAACCTATCCATAGCTACACGGATGGAAGTTGATCCAACAAAACAGGTGAGCAGTGTATGTGTGTGTGTATACACACACACACAACCAGGATCACGGAATAAGTATGATTTCAGTTGTATCTGAAATTGTGCTTTAGCGGGTCCCACCTCCCTCTGCAGGCTTTGTGGTGCTTCTTAGGGCACATCTCTGGGCCCTGTTTCACGGCACAGCCCTGCTGTTCATCAAGTGCTTCTCTGCTCTGTGCAGCTGTTGCAGGACCCCACCGCGCGTGAAATTCCACATAATTCAGAGGGACCACTTCTTCTGTATTGCCCTTTAACATTTATCTGTGATCTTTGTCTGGGGGGGGGGTGTATGTGTTTGTGACCTTGTTTATTATCCACATGCTTCAGACCTGCCTCCGGTCGCTGGTGCCATAAACTTAAACTACCGTGCAATATGTTCAGATGGTTCAATAATTCAATTTACCAATATAAACAAACAATAGCTCTATGATTCTGATCTCATCCCACTTTTCAGGGTGGCTTTTGCCAGGAAACCATTTGGGCCTTAAAGTTTGTACTCAGGCCACCTCATTTGCTCCTTAAAGAGTAAGACATTAATAACTTTGGCTGTTTGTGTGTGACTTAGCTGGGCACAGGTCCAAGCATTTTTCACTCTCAGCAGGTTAATGTCATGACTGGAGGGATGAAGGACTTGAGGGCCGGAGTTGTGGGAAACAAAAAGGGTTTACTGAACTCAAAAGAACAGAGACTGGAAATAAACTGGATTCAGGAGGATAAAAAAGGGGAGGAGCGGTAGTAGGAAAGGCACAGGCAACAAGACGGTTCAGCGTCAATGACTGGACTGGGGATCACAGGACTGGAAAGCACGTATATACAGGACTAATGAGGGAACTAAAGAGAGGCAGCTGGGAATGATTTACACGCAAGGAATAGGAACGAGAAGCAAGACGAGAGGGATAGGCGTGGCTTGTTAGGGCCATGACAGGGAGGAGACGGGCAGGAATGTGATACACGGGATTCAGCCAAACCCCAGCAGCAAAGTTGGTACTTCACCCTCCAATTTTCTTTACCTTTGCCAAACTTTTTAAAGCTTTTTAAGTGTTTATGCTGCATGCTATGAGAGACCCTTATAAAACACTAAAGCTTTTCACCTGATTGCTTAAAAGTTGTTTAGTTTCAACAGTAATCAAGAAATGTCATGTATATTCTGCAGTGACACTTTCCGGTTCACATAAACTATTTATTTCATTGAACAAGCTTGGCGTACAGAGCACATGCTTCGGTTCAGCTAAGAAATCGATCTCATGATGCCGTTGTTATTGGATGACTCAGAGCCATGCAAACGTGAAGCCATTTATGTGGTTTCATTAGGGTGACCATACGTCCTCTTTTTCCCGGGCATGTCCTCTTTTTGGGACCAACAAAATATGTCAAGCCAGGATTTCTAGATCAACAAAAATGCCTGCGATTTAGCATTTGTTTTGTACAGTCGCCATTCATTGTGTGTGCTTTTGCATTTCTTTTCTACCTTCCTCTTTGGGTCCTTCCTTCTTGCATGCCACCATTGGTCAGTCATATACAATGGTCAAAAACAATGGTCAAAAACAATGGTCAAAAACAATGGTCAAACTGCATCTCAGTCATTTCCCTCAGCACCACAGCAACAGCCAAGAGTCAGAGCAGCAGGCTGTTTGTCGCCTGCAGCACACTGACACCCTGAACAGCTAAAAGAAGATCCCAAATGCAAATGTAAATTCACAGATAAATTACAGAAAAAAAATTCCCATGTTTCTGTCTTGGTCGGGATGCATGACCTGCAAAGTTATTCATGTTTTTAAAGTTCAGTAACATTGCATGGTTGTGGACACCTTCATCAGCCACTTAAACCCTCCACCCCATACACACTGGCACAGTGCCAACCCAGCCCCCACCTTCCCCCCACCCTGGGTGTCCGTCTGCCCCCAGGCTGCCACCCCGTTCCCAGTGTCCTCTTTTTTGAAAACCAAAACATGGTCACCAGAGGTTTCATGACAAATGCCAGCCATATCTGCACTTCTAAACTGTATAATTGCCAATGATGACACATTTATGGGAAACTATTCTGATAAAAAGAATGGTCTCTGTAACATAGCGGCAGTTAGGCTGCTAACTGTGTAATAAGCTGATTGTAAGCTGATGGTGCACAGGCAGCTTCTGCAGAACGTGACTTACCAGAAGGAGGTCATTTTAACTTCAGTCTACATTATAAATGTCAACGTTGCCAAAATTAACGCAGCTTGACTTGACTTTTAAAGTTTATGCACTTTCCAGCGAGGCGTCACAGTGGGCATGGCCGCATGCTAAGTGAAAATGTATCTGTACCTCAAAGGTCCCCTACTCACGCTATGTGCCTTATCAGCTTCTGAATGCCAGATTGGGGATGTCTAAATATTAATTTGAAAGCCCTTTTCCCCCACAGTTTCACTTGTTTATAGTGCTGAAAACTCTCCAAAGTCTGCCAGGAAATAGCAGATGATCTACCGTACCACAATTCCCTTGAGCGTCCCTACCAATCCTCTTTCTTCTTCTGCTTTCAGCCAGGACAGCATCTCTGACTGCTTGCAACTACCACTCTCAAAGCCCTGAGAGATGCTTCTTGCAGTAGTTGGTTGAGATACCCCCTGCCAATTTATACCCTCCCTCTGCCAAAGGATGACAATATATTCTGCTGCTTTTGAACTTTTGGCCCCAAAGAGAAATCCAGAATGTCATTGCAGCCATAATCCCAGCAA